AATTCGGTTTGTATTGGAGGTGCCACGCCCCCTTTTCCAATAGCTCCTATTTTTCTCATAGAGTATGCGATTGATTTCGTATATCTCCATACAAAGTTCCAGTACTCTACCATGAACACTTCCAGAGATATGCAGTATGAAAAATTCGGTTTGTATGGGAGGTGCCACGCCCCCTTTTCCAATAGCTAAAATTTTTCTTCAGGATTATGCGATTGATTTCTTATATCTCCATACCAAGCGTCAGAACTCTACCATGAACACTTTCAGAGATATGTAGCATGAGAAATTCGGTTTGTATGGGAGGTACCACACCCCTATTTTCAATACAGTGAAACCCGCTTAAGTACCCCCCCGCTTAAGTACCTAACCCGCTTAAGTAACCAAAATTTTTGGGCACCGTGAATTTTTTAATGTAATCTGAAGAAAATTCCTCTCTTACGTACCTCCCCGCTTATTTACCCAACCCGCCTAAGTACCTCAATTTTTCGTACCCCATTTACCATTTTACTCATAACTTTCCCCTTTTAAGTGCTCTTTTAAAATTCCTTAAAATATTTACATATTTTGAATCTCAGTGGCAGCGTTACACACCTTCGGCAAAAAAATTATAAAAAATCAACGGTAATTTTGAGCCACTTGAAGCTTGCACATTATTACAATAAAATTGAATGGGCTATAAAACTATATACTCGAAAAACACATCTGAGGAAAAAAAGTTTAAATTTTGGTGAATTTTTTTCTTTACGTGTTCTATAAAATCTTAAGCTTAGGTTTTCATGGTATTTGTTAGGGAATGAACTATATTTTAATTGAAAAATCTTAAATAAATATGTATACTTCATTAAATGTTTATGTTTTTTCAAGGATTTACATATTTATGTAAGTTAACAAAAAGATGTAACTACATCAATGATTATGCTCGCTTAAGTACCCGCATCGAAGTACTAAAGCGGGTTCTTTTAAGTACCCAACCCGCCTAAGTACCTCAAAAAGCTGACATTTTTCGTGAGGTACTTAAGCAGGCTTTACTGTAGCTCAAATTTTTCTCCAAGGGTATGCGATTGGTTTCGTTTGTCTCCATACGAAGCTCCAGAACTCTATCACGAACACTTCCAGAGATATGGAGTTTGAAAAAATTCGGTTTGTATTGCAAGTGCCACGCCTCCTTTACATATAGAATTTTTTTTAGCCGTAAACCATCCTTGAACACGTGCGGCAGGTGTCTGAAGTTTCAAAATAATCGGTTCAGCCGTTCTTGAGCTTTGCGAACACTAAAAAACGGCTTTCGAAATATATTAGTATATATATATTATATATCATTACTATATTTTGGCTGTATCTGTTGTTTCTGATTGCCGCGAAAAAAACTTGCCTAGTGACGAATTCGCCCCTTGATATGGTGGTTGCTCAAAGCTATTTATGTTCGAAATTGCTACCTACGTACAAAATTTTAATCAAATCGGACCATAGATAAGATTCCTCGAATAGATCGGTCCCTGGTCCACTTCGCGGAAAAGAGGATCCTATATGCTAATCTAGGCAAAAAGCTACCCACGCACCAAATATTAAGCAAATCGGACCATAAATACGATTTTTTCGAATAGATCGGACCCTGGTCCACTTCCCGGAAAAAGGATCCTATAAGATAATCTAGGCAAAAAGCTACCTACGTACCAAATTTTAAGCAAATGGGACCATAAATACGATTTTTTTCGAATAGATCGGTCCCTGGTCCACTTAACGGAAAGAAAAGGATCCTATATGCTAATCTAGGCAAAAAGCTACCTACATACCAAATTTAAAGCAAATCGGACCATAATAAGATATTTTCGAATAGATAGGTCCCTGGTCCACCTACCGGAAAAAAGTAAATTTTTTTTTTGGCCTAAAACATGGTGGTTGCTGAAGGCTATATTTATACAAAATTTCATGAAAGTCGGACCAGCCGTTCGCGAGATTACCTGTTACAAAAAAAGGACTTCTCTTTATATAATTAGTATAGAGTATAGATATACTAGATGTGTATTATACATACATATGTAAATACATATGTACATACATATGTATGTGCATACATATGTAAATTAATTTTTGGAATTTACCAATCCATTTTTTTAATTTTTAATTGACTTCACAAAAAGGAGAAAGGTTATCAATTCGTCGGAATATTTTTATTTTTTTATGCATAACTTTGGACCACGTTAACCGATTTCTATAAATAAAGGAAAGGTGTTACCTCACAGGTGGGCCCATATTAATTTGGTTTAAATCCGATCATCGGATCATGAAGAAATTAACGATAATCTTAAATTTGTATATGACAATTGATGACGGTTTTGTTTTTTGGTAAAAAATTACTTGTAAATAATCAAGAACTCCATTTTAAAGTTATGTTCTTTTTGAGAAATGGTTGTCAAACAACAAAAATTACAGTCGAAAACAAGCAACACATGCAGTCTTCACGAGAGACATCTTGCTTGCTTCAAAAGTAAGCGGCGGCTAGTAGGGACGTTTCCTTGCTTGTGACTGTGTGTCTGTCGACTTGGTGAGTTTTATCTTGATTAAATTTAGGTTTGGAAAGGCGCTATTTTTTCGATTTTTTTTTTTCTTAAGTATCTTATACAAATCCAATTTATTTACTCCAAAAATGTTAGGCCATAACTAAAAACCACACGTTTTATGTAACTTTAAAAAAGGCCAAAACGTAGAATTGTATGTGCTGATGTTAACGTTTTTTTCTTCCTTGGGAAAAAAATTTAAATATCAGTTAGGACCAGTCCACATTTCAGCAACGAGAGTTCATATAGTTAGATGACTTAATCCATGTTTTATTTTAACAGATTCCAAGGGCTGCCCTTATATCCTTAAGCAAGTACTCGATTGTTAATATTTACTAGGTTTTCTATACATATTTATGTATGTATATCGATAATTGCTAGCTTTCCTATGGTTTCCTGACACCTGAGTAAAACACAACGAATTGCCCACACATACGGTCGTTCAACACTTAAACAGCGTTCCAACCGAATAGGAAGCCTGGCAACGAACGACCAACCAAGCAATCAGAAAGCATAGAGAACCTGTTGGCAGGTCATTTCAAAAGCCAAGACTAGTAAACAATAAAGCAACCAACTGAGAAGAAAATGTATACATCCACCCAGGGTTGCCACTGACGAAAAAAAATATTTACCATCCACTTGAAAAAAATCTACCAAATCTGGGAAATATCTACCAATAACTTTTTTATAATTATTTTAACGAAAACCATAGTTTTGTTATTTTTTTATTTATTTTAATCAAAACTATAGTTTTTTTTATTTTTCTTTTTTAGTTATTTCAATAAGAATTAACATTGTTTTTAAGAACTTTTTATTTAACTAGTTATACGGGAGTGATGAAACTAAAGGCAACAATGAATCTTCATTATTTGAAAAACTTCAACTCGAGTTATTATAGACAAATACTGTGTCTCAAAAAGTGATTTTTTTTAATATTCGCAATATTTTTCGAGTAAAAATTTTTTATTTCTTTAACTAAATCCAAAAAAATCGAGGACTCAAACTATACACAACATATAGAAAAATTCCAAAATTTTCCGTCTATATTTCGAATTTTTTACTCTGAATTTTTAGAACAATTTAAGGTATGGAGTTTTAAAGCAAATACTATTTGAGTATAGCCAGCAATGTGCTGCTTAAAATTACCGTTGATTTTTTTTTTTCATTAATAAAAAATGGCGTTGATTTATTTTTTTGCGAACAATCATAGTGCGTAATTACATACAAATTTTTTATTTATATTTAAGTAATCATTTAAACTATTTAGGCAATCAAAAGCTCCTCGGGATTCCAGTAAAATTAGTTTTGAATGGAGCGCCTTATATCGATATACATTTATACGTACATATGTATTTATATAAAAAGTATGCAAAGAAATTTATAATATATTTAAAGATAACTACGAAAAATAAATCGGGAACGGAAAGTTCATAAAAAATCTACCAAAAGGAGAAAAAAATTACCTTTTTACCAACCCGAATTTTGTCTACCAATTTTGGTAACAATTTACCAAAGTGGCAACCCTGCATCCACCTTCTTTAGTTGGAACAACTGTCTTTGTTGCCGTTGAGGTTTTCGTGTCTGTTGGTAGCTCGTTCGTTGTCGTTCACCATCGCCGACCGATATGTGACCAGGGTTGCCGTTTTGGGCTTTTTCTACCAAAATTTGTAGGTTTTTTTCGCGTCGGTAGGATGGTAGGATGCTTCAAATTTTTGTAGTTTTCCTTGCTCATAAAACAGAAAACAGCTCTGGTTATTTTGCCGGCGCTGTCAGTAAATACGTTTGAAGATATACATGGAATATATTCGTCTTTTTTCTGCAAATCATGAATAAAAGGATACATTGTGTACGCCCATGATTCAATAATACAAGGTTAGATAATTATTGACAGCCGCGGTTTGACACTCCCTTACAAAAGGTTGCATTTACGAAGGATGGGTAAAGGGGAGGAATGAAATCCATTGCTGCTAAATTGGTGGTAGAAAAGTACCCAAAGCAGGCAAATAGTAGTGACATTTCTTTTGTAAATTCTAATGTATTTGCAGGAAATCTGGCATTTTAAACGAAATATTGAACGAAATTTTAACATATCTATGTGAATTACGCAATTTTTGTGTTGTTTAGCCGTATAAAAACTACAAAAAGACTCAAAATTAAAACAAAACTACTATGATATTTATGTAAACAGCAAATTTAAAAAGAGTTTATGTTTTCATCAGTTAAATATGCTTCATATGCATATACAAATAAACATATTGCACAAAAGCTTATACTTCTTTTTCATAGCAAAGCAACACTTTTTCCAAGTAAATTTGCAAAGAAGCAACACTTTGCCACTGCTAAGGGAGCGGTGCGAGAGAGACAACTGTCAGTTTATCGAACCTTGTATTATTGAATCATGGTCTACGCCTTGAATAGTTGAAGCAATGAGAGCTCATCAAATTTCATTCTAGCATATCGCACACTATCTTCAAAGGTGACAGAACTCAAAATTACACGTTTGTCAGAAAATGCGACAAACTATTTCTTAGCACATGCTAATCATATTGGCAAGGGAGACTTTAACTTAGGTTTTTGCAATTATAAAAAAAAAATGCTCCAGATTTTGCGGAATGGTAAATAAAAGCTCTGTGTGCATTTTTAGCGCATCATTTCAACAATGATAAATTTTGAATTACGTCGCTTTTGATGACCGTGTGCGATATGCATGTATGTGTGTCAAAAATATATGTATAAAGAGAATTTTCTGGGGGTCTACTCTGTATTACGATTCGAAGAGCAAATCATTCGAATTCAAATGCTTGGCACTATGAATTTGTATTAGTCCGTATACAGAGTATAGACCTCCTGCTTATCTGTAAAAGTCATGATGTAGAGAACAAAGGTGGCGCCCATCTCGATACCGCTAATGAATTTGACAGAATCGCTGTTTGTATGACGTCACACTTGTACAACTTGTTTACGTTGTTCTTGCAAAATTTCTTCTTCCATTCTTGCTCGCAAATGCTCCAGTGTGAGCTTACACAATTATTATTCTCTCTGATTCTTGTGTAAAAGTACAACTTCCTGTGTAAGATACAAACATACCATGCATAAATACATACAAATATACTTATGATGATTTAGTATTATTTTTGCAAATTTGAAGGCTATTAAAAGAATTATTGTGATCTCTTTTGTTTACCTAAGAAAATTTATTTCAATTTCAAAAAGGTGCCATTCTTTTCGATTCTTTTCCTTTAGCATTAAAATCAGGAACATCTTCCTAAAACAAAAGTCCAATGCCAAAGTAAGATAAACCAGTTGTATACACTATAGAAATTAGAAAATTTTAGTTAACAAAAAGAAATACACGCAAAGAATTTCACTAAAATGTATTGAAATATTACTATTTTTTCAATAGTGCTATTTTGGCACTTCGTGCCAAATTGAAAAATTAGTTGCGATTTAAAGTAAAGTAGGGTCAAAAATGGCGCGATTTGAGCCAAGTTGACAGCCCTGGCTGTGCTCCCCATCCGAACCAGATGTCTTGTTAACTCACGCGCTCTAAAGCTACTGCTGTGTTGCGTCTTCTACTCACCGCAGCAGCGAGCGAACTCAACATAAATCAACTCACCATCCAGAGTTGGCCCATCCGCCCGATGTAACGCATTGCATTGCACCGATATCTACCGTTTTGGTGCGACTCATTCGTCGTCATTTTGTTAGTCAGTCATCGACACTGGAGCAGTGGAGTTATTCAGTTTTTCTTTTGTTGCTAATTTTCGGCATCCATCAGCGAGCGTAGCTAACAAAAATACGAAATACTCGATTGAACTACTGTGTAGTACTGAAAATACTAACGAAAACAAAGTACGATTGTCGCAAAGGAAGTGCAAACGCAAGTAAATACTGTGCGAACGTATGTATGTATGTATTTATGTAATACCCCTTTCAGACGCGTTAAGTCTTGCTTTCAAGTCTGCTCGGTTCGTAGGCGAAGGAGGTGGGAAGAGAGGGGAAAAGTACATTCGTCTCACCTCCTTCGCCTACGAACGAGCAGACTAGAAATCAAGACTTGACGTGTCTGAAAGGGGTCTAATAAGTACTTCAATTGTTTTCAAATCGTATACGGCGTTCTTGGCGCGGTATGAGATGTATAAATGTTTTAAACAATTTCGTAGTTGTTTATGCGAGCTACAATTGAGCGAATGCTTTATAAATAAAAACAGCAAAAACATTTTTATTACAAGCGTTAGCAGAAATTGCTGCCACTTCAACAAGAGATATAATATACTCAGTCTATTCCACAACGACAGATATAACAATAGGGTTGTTCAGGATGTTGTGGAAAGGTTCTTGGATTTGCAGTTGGAATTGCATTTGGAAATTTTTTGCTTGCTGCCATGGCAACCGTCTCCATTGTATTGTTGTGAATTTACAAATACAACGAATATGCAAATACAAACGCATATGCAAAAGATCCTGAACAGCCCTAATAACTTAATATAAATACTATGTTTACACCGACTGTTGCAGTAAACATATTCACTTATTATATGTGTGATATACATAGTACATACAGTGTATTGGCCATACAATAGCACCCCCATTTTAAAGTGATGTGATATTGTTTAACACTCATGATTATTTATTTTTAGGAATTTTCAATTAAAATACAGTTCATTCCCTAACAAAACTCATACAAACCTACGTTTACAACTTTTTAAAAGACTAAAAAAAAAATGCAACAAATTTTCTCCTAAGTTTTTCCACAGAAGTGCTAGAATTTTTTTGAGTACACAGTTTTATAGCCCATTCAATTTTAGTATCATAAGGGGCCAGTTTAAAGTCGCTAAAAATTACCGTTGATTTTTTAGACTTTTCTTCGCCGAAGGTGTTGCGGGTTTCTTACATATAAAAAAATACATTAAGGGTATTCATCAAACCTTATAAATGCATTGTAAACCGTATAAACTTATAATTGTGTAAACCTTATAAATGAACTATCAAAATTTGTTTACACATTTCTGATAAATTTCTCCAGCGATTTCACTGAGGCTGCGTTTCTTTATAAATTCCGGATAATCCCATTTCACAGCCGGAATAAACAGAATGCTTTTGAAATATACGTTAACATATCATCAGGAACGTTCTAAAGAATAAGTAAACAAAAAAGTTTATTCCAAACGTTCAGAATGAATAAAGAAATTCAGCCTGAATAAACTTGATAAACTGAAACCAATGCAACTCTGTCGCAACTCTAGCTATGTTTTCTTGGGCAACAATCGGGATCCGCATACAAATTTTGCACGCAAATTCAACAACAACGATATGATCCTAATAGAGATCTGGTTCAATTATTATCCAGTCTGTTTGTTTTATTTCACTGATAATTTGGCCGCAAAGTTTGGTAGCCGTGACAAATGAATTCACACACAAACAGACATTCTGCCATTGTTTCTTTTAACTTGCTTCAAATAAATATCCTCTATGTTATATGTATGTATATTTATTTAAATAGATATTATCTCGTAAATATATTTTTTTCCAATTTAGTGAGGTAGTTTCTATAATTTCTTTATACCCGTGCTAGTAGTATAAAGTTAGTGATACTGAGCTCTATAACCAAAGAAAACACGACAGTTACATATGTAAGACTTAAACTTGACTTGAGTTGAAACCCAAAAAACCAACTTAAATTAGAAACTTGGAGAACTAAAGATTTTTGATTTCTAAGTGCAAAGAGAGCCATGAGAGAATCATGCTGTCAGTTAATTTCTTCATAAAATTTCTACAAATATGCCCCACAAATATAATTTTTCGAATAAATGTAATTGATCTGGCAATCGAAAAAAAAAAAATCAAATACATTTTTTTTAATAGTAATTTTGTAGCAATTTTGGTGTAAAAACAAATACAATTTTACGTGTGCATATACAAGTGCTGAGAATCAAAATAAAAAGAAAAGGTAATAGGTGACACGCTGAGTAATCGCGTTTCTAGGTAAGCCAAGTTTGGTCTAAATTTCCATAACCTAGCTTTAAGACTAAAATTGAATGGGCTATAAAACTGTGTACTCGGAAAAATTCTAACGCTTCTGAGAAAAAAATTTGAAATTTGAGTGAAATTTTGTTGCATTTTTTGTAGTATTTTGAAAAGTTTTAAACGTTTGAAATTTCTTAAAAATAAATCGTCACTAGACACGAATAAAGGCGCGAGCTCAAAAGTTGACGGCGAAAAAAGACGCATAAAAAAACTTTAGCGTCAAAGACTCTTAACATACTTCGCCGAAGTTTTTCATAAGGCTCTTTTTCGCAAAATTTTTTTACGCGCCTTTTTTCGCCGTCAAAACACTAGCGCGCCTTTATTCGTGTATAGTGACGACATAATTAAACAAAAGTGGTAAACAATATCACTTTGAAATGGGGGTGCTATAGATATGTACGTACGTGATATTAGGGTGGTCCAAAAATGCATGTGAAAAAGTCGGAATTTTTATGCTCTCACCCCGTAGGATTATTCTATACCAAAAAAATATATATCCTTATTATTTTTATTTTGAAATCAAGTTTTCCATGTATTTTGTATGGGGAAAAACAACTTTTCGTAGAAATGGTATAGAATTCTTAAAAAGCAATATTTTTCTACCAGAAAACTCTGTTTATCTGCAGGAGATTCCCAATAATAATACCCAAATGTTTATTTAACCATTTTTTCATCTATAAATTATAGGTCCGCCAAAAAACCCACGAAACCCCCGATAAATGCAATGGGGCGTCCAATAAAAAATGGTTAATATTAAAAAATGGTTAAATAAACAATTGGGTATTATTATTGAAAGTCTCCTGAAGAGAACCATAGTGTTCCGATCGAAAAATATTGATTTTCAAGAACTCTATACCATTTCTCCGAAAAATTTTATTTTTCCCATATGTAAATACATGGAATACTATGAGCGCTTTGAGCGACCTTTAAATATTTTTTTGATTTCAAAATAAAAAAATAGGGGTATACTTTTCTTCGATATAGAACATTCCTAGGGGGTGAGAGCATTACAATTCGGACTTTATATGTATTTTTGCTTAGTTTCTTAATGACACATGAGAAAAGATCCCATATTACAATTCGTAAATCTAACTGTCCATAGTTTTAATTTTTTCATTTATAAAAACTAATTCTCAATTTCGTATTATTGTTAATAAAATTGTAATTTTTCATTTTTTATTTTATTTGCAGTAATCCTTAAAATGAACATCACGCTCGAAAATACGCCACTTACTTGGCGAATATGGACAGTCTTTGCTCCAAGGAACTTATTTCTGAGCATGTAAATCCACCACAAGTCGAGAGGAAAATGATCACGTGAGCCGAAACACTATCATTTCATTCTAAAGATCAGAAACTGAGACCTGTTAACGGTGGAAGTGCTTACTGGCTCAAAGTTAGTAATCACGACCTTTCCGCTTACCTAGTTAATGGCATTAGTGGTTTCGATTATATTCGGTGTAATACTTGGTGTTCCATAAATAGTTACACTTCGGCGCTTCGTGTTTCATTAGTGCGGGGCGCTCAAAGTTGGGACCAAAGTGGCAACTAGAGACTGGTGCGACACGACGGTGACGACAAAACTGCAACAGAAATTTGTATTTATGGATGCTGGAGGCATTCCTGTCTTTCAGAGCGCCAGCCAGGCAGCCGCCGCAGCCCAACACCAACAGCAAAAACAACAGCAGCAACAACAACAACAGCGTCAACAACAGCTAACCCTACAACTCCAGCAGCATCAACACTTACAACACCATCAACTGCAGCAACAACAGCAGCTACATCAGCAACAAACGATTGGATTGCACCTGCAGCAACATCAGCAACAACAACTACACAATGTGCAGCAGCAACAACAGATACAGGTGCAACATCACCAGCAACAGTCGAATGGACAACAACACCAACAGCAGCCACAATACAACACAGCTCCACCAGGAACAGCGGGCCCAGGAGGCAGAATTGGCGGCGGCATTGGCCTTGGCGGCGGCGGAGCTGGCAGCACTGCAGGAGCGACTGGAGCGGCAGCAGCAGCGGTTGGAGGAGCTGGCGGCATGGGCGGCCTCATCGGCCCCGGCAACAACGTTAACGGGCCAGCGCTTGGCAGTAACAACAACCAAATACACAACCAGGGCGGTTGCGGGCCCGAAATTGTGCCGCCGAAGCGGCAGCAAATGGTTGATAGACTTAGGCGCCGCATCGAGAACTACAGGCGTCGGCAGACGGACTGTGTGCCGCGTTATGAACAGACATTTAACACAGTATGCGAGCAGCAGAATCATGAGACGGCGGCATTGCAGAAGCGTTTCCTTGAGAGTAAAAACAAGCGCGCCGCCAAGAAAGCGGAGAAAAAGCCAACTGAGCCTGCATCGGCTCCGATGATGGCAGGCAATCTACAAAGCAGTGTTCATGTGGTAAGTTTAATCTATGTATATATGTACATGTGTACGCGTGACATTTTATACTGAGCCTACAAAAAATATTAGGGGGGTCACTAAACAAGTCGGTTTGAATCCGCAACACTAATACCATTTGAGTCGATCTGACATTTGCAACGTAAAATTTGATTTTTTTTTAGCCTTGACGTGTTCGGAACATTTTACAATACGAGCGCTATGTATTTGCGTTATTTACACTTCATAGTTCGTACAAGGTGGACCATATAAGACCTACCAATGTTAAACACCTACAACTCTTGTAGTAATCATTTGTTTTAATTATTTTCTTTTTATATATATACTAATACATTTTATGGAAATTAAGAGGCACTATGTATGAAAAATTACATAAAAAATGCTCACAATTTTGCTCGATGCAGACATTGGCTCTTTTTAGAGAGTTTTCCATTACACCACGTAATGTTTCTGGTTGCAGACTTCGTATTTCTGCACAAATATTCTGCCTCAGCACTCTAAAAGTCGCATACACTTTGTTTTTTAAACATCCGCATAAAAAAGTTGGAACAGCTGTATCTTTCCAACACTCTGCCGCACAGCTTCCACGTTCGTTCAACGGTCGACCAAACTCCTCATCATGCCGGAGCTGATCTTGAATTAAAATATTGTCGATAATTTCACTGCGTCATAACAATTTATCGTTGCAAAGAATATGAATTTCCAAGAATTTAATTACAACCTGCAAAAAAAAGATGCAATTATATTAAAAAATAAAAAAATTATTCGTGTTTAACATTAGTAGATCTTATATGGCCCACTCTGTAGTAGAAAAAAAAGTTAATATTAAAGAAAAGGTTCCCGTTGGATGATTGTTTATAACTTTTCCCATAGATTAATACAACAACAGTGCATAGATGAACTTATTTCGACTTTTGGTGATGAAGCCCCATCAAGAGCCCGAGTTTATGAGTGGTATAATGCACTGAAGAATGATCGTTTTTTTAATTGAGGGATTTAATTTTTTTTACAGTTTTTTTTTCATCTCAAAATCTATTAGATAATAGTATAATAAAAAACAACTTTTTTTTGTGAAATATTGATTTTTTCCAAGAACACTATTTTAAGGTCAAGGAGTAGTTATGGCCCAATGGCAATGTTTTTCCGTCTAAAGGAATTACATTAGCTTTCAAACCCCGTTTGTTTGATTTCAAAATGTTTTTCGAAAGCGCTACGATTAATTCGATTACGATACGATTGTGCGCCATTCTGCTACAGAATAAAAATCCCAACCAAAATCTGTGAAAACTGATCGTCTTTTACAGAAAATAATATGTATCGAGATGAAAACCTCTAGCAGTGGTGCAATATCAGTGTAATCTTTAGCAACAGCAACACAGCAGTTAGTGCAGTACAAATAGTAACAGTCAAAGTAGCAGCAATGACGGCTACGGCGGTTGAATGCCACAGGGTGCTCGTAGAGTATTCCGTGGTATGGCGAACAAATAATGAGGTCAGCGTAGATTTTTGTTCGCTCATTACGAATATCGAATGTATGTACATTAGGGTGGTCCAAAAAGCATGTGAAAATGTAATGACGGAATCTTTATGCTCTCACCCCCTAGGATTGCTATATACCGAAAGCAAATATACCTCTATTTTTATTTAGAAATCAAGAAATATTTAGATGTCGCTCAAAGCGCCCAAAGTTTTCTATGTATTTTATATGGAAAAAAAACATTTCGTAGAAATGGTATAGAATTCTTAAAAATCAATATTTTTCTATCGGAAAACTCTGTTTATCTGCAGAAGATTCCCAGTAATATTAACCAATTGTTTATTCAACAATTTTTTTGTCGCAACTACAATTTACAGGTCCCACAAAAACCCCGAAAAATGCAAAAGGAGGACCAATAAAAAATCGTTAGTATTAAAAAATGGTTAAACAAATAATTGGGTATTATTATTGAAAGTCTCCTGAAGAGAACCAGAGTTTTCCGATCGAAAAATATTGAATTATACACCATTTCTACGAAAAGTTGTTTTTCCACCATATAAAAGTACATGGAAAAGTTTGAGCGCTTTGAGCGACCTCTAAATATTTTTTTATTTCAAAATTTGAAAAAAAAAACAGGGGTACAGCTTTTTTCAATATAGAACAAACCTAGGGGGTGAGAGCATTACAATTGCGACTTTGCTGTTTTGGACCACCCTAATGTGCATACCTATGTACATATATCTATCTATACATACATACGTACAAACATTTTCGCTTACATACATATGTATATATAATCATAAGGTTGGCTATTGTTATTGGTTTTGTTTGTGCAATATTAAAAAAAAATCAACAAACTCGTAAAATTTTCGAGCTTTTTAATTCGATTTTCTAGACAGATTTTGAGTATCCAGTTTTGTAGTTAGCAATTCTAGCACAATAAAGCGCAGATTTGAAGAGGCTAAAAATTTTCGTTTTCTTTTTCGTGATAATTTTTAGACGTTTGAAACTTTATTATACTAAAATTGAACGAGTTGTAGTTTTTGGCATCTAATGAATGGAAAATAATGTATATGTGATTGCAATTTGCATTGTTTAACATTTACCTTTGAAACAAACGAAAAGCAAATCACAGCCGATGGCGGCATAAATAGAAATGTCAAATGACAATTTCTAAATAGTGCTGTCATTGTTCCCTATCCGTTGCTGACTTGAATATTTAATAACTCAGGGTTGCAGTTGCATTTCTTATGCAACTTTTTTAACTAAAATATTTAGTGAAGCGAAAAAGAAAAAAAAAATTACCACCTAATTCCTCACAAAAAAAAAACACTTCATCCCCCAATTCGCCACGTAAACGGAAATTCCCCGCAAAAAACGGTCCATTCCCCGATTGCCCACCCAAATGGAAATTGCCCGCAAATCGGGGAATTCGCCACGAGTTGGCTTCCCTGGTACAGATAAACATGTACCATGTATGTGTGTATGTGTTGGCACCGCTGTGCATGCTTGGTATACATATACATATGTACTTTCTTAATTACATATGAAAAACTTTTCGTGAAATAGTGTAGAATTCTTGAAAATCAATATTTTTCGATCGGAAAAGTTTGCTTATCTTCAGGAGATTCCCGGTAATAATACCCAATTGTTCCTTTAACAATTTTTTCATGATAACTATATTTTATAGGTCCTAGAAAATGCAATGGGGGACCAATAAAAAATCTTTAATCATAAAAAATGGTTAAATAAACAATTGGATATTAATATTTGAAGTCTCCTGAAGAGAACCACGGTTTTACGATTGATTTCCAAGAGTTTTATACCATTTTTACGAAAATTTGTATTTTCCCCATATAAAATACATGGAAAACTTTGAGCGCTGTGAGCACTCCCTAAATATTTTTTGATTTCAAAATGAAAAAATAGGGGTATATTTATTTTTGGTTCAGAACAATCCTAGGGGGTGGCGGCATTAAAATTCCGACTTTATTATTTTGGACCACTCTAATGTACATACAATACTTTTGAACACTTTTCGCTTGATTTAAATACGTTATTATTTAACTATTTTATGTTTTTTTATTTTTAAATACGAACATTTTTAAACGGTAATCAAACAAAAAAAAAATGAGTCATTCCATTGAAAAGGGGAAAACAACATAAATTTAAATATGCCCTTATCTCTATTTTTAAATGACTACATTTTATTAACCTGTTGGGAAATATTAACAAAATCAAAACAGTTTTTAATTTTTATCTATGGAAACTCTTATTTCATGCAAATTACTTTACACCAGTCACAAGGAGATGTCCCACCAGTCACAACTTTAAATATTTTTTAATATTTCTGTGGGTATTATATAAACCTCATTTTTATTGAAAACGAAGTAGTATAATTCATATTTTCCAACACCAAAACATCTTTCTTAAAAATTAAGTGTTTTGGCTAAAATTAATTTTTGAGTGCACACGGGTAAAATCATATATGTAATACTTCTATATTGGTAGTAAGCTAACATCTCAATGTGTAAGCATTCCGAAATCAAAGCGAGACAGTCTAGTACTGTTTTTGTCAATGTATTGTGTACTTGAGTGCCGTTTTTGTAAATGTGTCGTGTACATGTTTATTTATAAACGTATGTGTTCCTTTTCTTTCGTACGTGTTTATTGATATATCTGTACTGTAGTGTTTTCGGACGGTACTAGCTCTTACTGCCAATATAGGAGTATTACATATATGGGTAAAATAGAGTTCTTTTCAGCGTCCCACCAGTCACATTAATTCAAATGATAAATACATAAAACTAAGAAATCGTTTGGTATTTTTTGTTAAAGCAATTTTATACATTAGTTATCGTTCTATGTTAAAAAATATCCTTCGCTGTTTTATAAGTTCCGATGATATAGCTAAAATTCACAATTGATCACATTCTGGAGTAAAATGTCCCACCAGTCACAATGGAATGGCCCAAATATTAATTTTTCCTACGTGCTTTTTTCCTCGGTGTATGAGAAATCCTTTTGTACTTAAATACTTAGTTACATATGTACATATCTACATATATGTACTACATACATATATACAGTGACTCAAACAAATGACTAAATGTTGATTTTTTACACCCGAGCGCACTTGTGCGCAAGGATATTATAACTTTGTTCCCATAACGGTTGTTTGTAACAGTTGTAAAACGAATTGAGATACATAGATATAGACAAATGTATACATATGTAAATGATCAGAATGAAAAAAGAAATCGATTAAGCGGTGACTGTCTGTCCGTCTGTCCGTCTGTGCACACAATAACTCGAGTAAAAATTGAGATATTTTATCGAAACTCGGTATGTGTACTTCTTTTCAGCGTAGGACAGATGGTATTGCAAATGGGCAAAATCGGACAATAACCACGTCTACCTCCCATACAACGGTAGTTTTCAGAAATACGAAAACTGCGATATTTTAGTAACTACTTAAGCCTATTCACTCAAAATTGATGTTTGCAATAACTCTTTAGCACAA